TTTTGTTCAGGGTTATTTAATATTAGGCCAACCGTCATGCATACCGTATCAATCTTCTTGTTTTGTTGTTGTTGTCTATTTACTTTTTAAAGTCGTCTAGACGTATTGGTCAGTGGTAAGAGATGATAAATATTAGTATACTTAATAAGTATATTAGTTAAATGAAGATCATCCATGTTATTAAACTGAAAATGAACAGATTAAATACTGAAATCAATAATTTGGTGACCAATGTTAATTAACCATATTAATTAATGGATATCAGTCAGTCAGTCATGATGATGTCGAATAAATGACGCTACTCGGATCCTGCATGCGCGTTTCGGAAACACAACACACATCGATGGCGCGAGATTCTAAAATCCTAGCTAAGGAAGCTTGTTGTCTTATTTGGAATGATGCTTGGACGTTATAAACTCCAACATGAAGCTTAGAGCGTGGTTTCAGGAGACCAGGAATAACGTTCTGCGTATTCGAATCGTTTGCCCTAGCGGTGCGAGGTGATAAAAGGACGTGAAAAGGGTTAGTCGGGGAGATAAGAGTGGTATTAGGAGGTGTAGGAAGAATTCGAATGTGACCGACTTGGTCTCGTGTGCTGTTTCGGGTACGAGGGCTGGTGTCACTTCCCGGCTGCTCACACCGTGGAAGCATTAATGGATATAGAAAGAAGTAAATTCTCAATACAGAATTAATTTTCTCAATGAACAAATTGAATAAAAGATGTAAGAATAAATTTATTCTGTTTCATAATTTTACTTTACATTATTTCATTAAATAAACAATAATGTGTAATTTAAAATCAATAAATGAATAAATCACAGGAAACTTATTAAAGTGATTGAAGAACACATGATTGAAAAATCAGTTGGTATTTGGCACTGTGATGAGTTTCTTTTTTTGTTTTAATGAATACAAAGGTCGATTAATACTGTTAAATCGGTTAAAAAATCTAGGTAAACTGAAATTATTCTATATTTTAGTTTTAAATGGGACTAGACTAGTTATAGCAACTATCCTACAAGAAATTTCCATTATAGCTCATTTTGACTAAGCTCTTTTATTAACATACTTAACAGACAATGTGCTATTTTAGAACAGTAATAATTCTCATATTGATTTGTACCGTTATAATCACTACAGCATATGAAAGACTCAAGCTAAAATGTTGATTGTTTAAATTGTTATTCGATGTTCATTCTCCCCTCGCCAAGTATGTATGTACTCAAATCCTATTATTAGTCCTTGTTTTGCCTTGCTTGCGTCCTTATGCGATTTAACTATAAATTTGTCTCTGTATTTGCTCGCGTACATATATATTCGCCTCTATGCTTCAAATTCGATTGATGTGTTTGTAGCTTTGTGATCTGCGCTATCTGTCAATAGACTGTAGTTGCTGCTTCTCATTACCTGATTTCAAACACCGTTGGAATTTATGTAATAATGGTTACAAGGGTGATAAATTAACGAAACAAAGCCACTACATAGTTACTGATCTTCATAATAAACGATTACTTTTCTGTTGGTTTCAAAGAAATATCTATGGTAATAATGACTGTTAGTTTATCTTTCAAATCATTCAAATCATCAGCATTGTCCAACCCACTTTGTCCTCGGCCTTCCTTCCTAGTTCTATACAATTTTCGTTCATTCCTCTCATGTCTGCCTCCATTTCCCGGCGTAATGTGTTCTTTGATCTTCCTCTTTTCCCTTGGCCTTGAGGATTCCATGTGAGGGCTTGCCTTGTGACGTAGTTGGGTGATTTTCCTAATGTGTATCCTATCCACTTCCAGTGCTTCTTTCTGATTTTTTCCTCCGCTGGAATCTGGTTTGTTCTGTCCCACAGTAGATCGTTGCTGATAGTGTCTGATCTAGTTTTTACAAAATTTTACAGGGTTAATATTGTGGATGATTGTTACATTAGTTCATATGTCACACTAAAGGATACTTTTCGGAGTTCTTCTCATTGCTTTAAACAATTTTGTGGAAAATTTTATCATCAATTACAAAGTCTGTATTCACAAATCAGTATGATGGAGTTTTAGGACAATAATTATGGGTTTACTCAGTTTATGTTAATAAGGCTCAAATTTTACTAGCGATGGTAACTTTTGAATTCTTTTTTCGAATTAATTTTTCCCCCAAGTCTTTCTCCTTTTCCGACTGGTTGCCACTACTTATAGTTTTCTAATTTTCCGTATGCCACAAGGTTATACATTTGCTATACCATATATACTGAATTGTACCATTACGATTTATTCTGCTTGGTTCTACTTTAATATGTTGGTTTTTCCTATACTTCATCTCCTTCCTATGTTATTGGCAAACTGTTGAAGTGTCATGCTCCAGATGGCGTCATCGAGTTCGCAACAAATCTATGCGTATTTAGTATAACTCAATCGTTTCTTAATATTTAAGTATAGAAAACCAAGAGAAAACCCAATAGACATAATCTTTTGTACAGAGCAGTCTCTTTTATTGCCATATTGCTAGCCAACGTCTAATCTTATTTCAACACTGTAATATTGATACACATTTTCTCTTATTTATCACCCACTAACGAGTTGTATAACACGATTATTCAATATGAAAAATTATTGATAGACTGCACAGTAGTCTTAATAGCTACCGAAAATGACCAATCGGCATGCTATGGATGGCAGATAAGAACTTCGCTTTATTCTGTTAGATTATTAGACTTAAAACTCACCCAATGAAAACTTACGATGCATCACAATTAATTAATAGCAACTTTTGAACATCCGAAACTACGGCTACACTTAATGCGTTGATTATGATGTAATAAATCAAATATTTATTAACTACACATCAAAATGTATGTATACTGATTCACTGGACAACATATTCCAGATTTTTTCCGTCTTCATTTATTCTTCTACAACTAAAAACATTTATAGTTGTGCACCATGAATCAGGTGACAATCTAACATGAAATTCCGGACTGTAGCTGGCATTATAATTCAGAACGTGTCTCGTCCTACTTGGGACATGTTAGCTCTATGTATTTGTATCTAATAGTTGGTCACTCCAAGATTCGAACCTAGTACTTTCCACTTCAAACCCGAAAACGCGCTATCTCTTCACTGTGTATTTTCTCTAAAAAAAGCCACAAAATGAGATGATTTGCACAGAATACATATATGCCATTTGAGACCGATCAAATTTCAACCAAATTATTATCAATAGGATAACTCAAAAACTCTTACAAATTAAATTAGCATAAAATTAGATATTCTACAACAGTATTCGTATTTCCAATAGGCAATAACGTAACCTATGATCTTTGACAAATCCCACGAGAAACTGAAGTATTGTTTTATAGTTTGCGTCACGAGTCAAATTTCACTGGACAAATGAAAACAGATATCCACTGTTTAATAGTTTTTCAGTGGTTCGTTCAAAGTTATTTTATCCCACCCTCTGTGGTTTGATGAGTGTTCAATACAGAAGAGTGCTAAAATATAGTAAGTCAATCGTTCAGTACTCACTATTTACATAATAGACCGATCTTAATTAGATTATCAACAAACATTGGACACCTATTTCTTCTTATTATCGAACTCTTTAGTGGTGCTCATCTAAACCCCACTCAGAGTTTAATCTAAGACGTCCAAAACTCAAGGTGAGTGCTTGACCTTTAAACAGTTAAACTGGCATTCAATGATTTACATGTACTACTTTAATCGGTTCGTGATACTGCATGACATTCTTATCTTATATCTGTTTACGGAAAAGATTCATTACAACTTTTGGAAAAATTCACTCACTTCTAAGTATACAATAAAAGACATTTTAAACGTTTTATTTAATGTTTAAAATAGTTCAGTGTTGGTTTTATTGTTTTTAAAAGTTCGAACTACCCGGTTGTTTATCATTCAGAGATGAATTATTGATCACTCTTTGTTGGTATATGTTTACCCTATTTGGATACCCATTTGTCACAAGTTATTTGGAATAGCCCTAACAAGTTAAGGCTTACTTTTGCTCAGTGGCTAAATGGATAGTACGCTGACATCTAATAATAATTTAGTATATATATAATGATGTGAAAATCGAGGCTAGGATGCAAATATGCCCAAGTGATGAATCTAAGTTAGGACGAAACGCGGATCCAGGATTTGGCTGTTTATCCATTTTGCAAAATATAATATTGGTTACGTTGTTTGATTTGATACTGAAGGATTCAGATGGTTCGGTAAAACAAAAACAACGAACGCAACATGTATAATCGGCATTTATAACGTGGTAATTTTCAAGAAACTATCAAATTCATGATACATTTTGATAGTAGATAACTTCAATTCAATGAAGTCAGAAGTTGGAGTATGAATGTTAGTAGTATAGTTTGTCATATTTCATTTCATTAGAATTTTGAATAGTTTAGATTAACTCCTTTTTCTTGTTCTATAAGTTATTTTATTGTAAACACATATTGAGAGCCAATTAAGAATACCATTTAAATCACAGTCTATAAATCAATATACTTTAATTCATTCATTTGAATTACAAAAGACTAAATTGCATTGAAGAGGCAGGTCGTTTTCGAACCATGACTTAGTGATACCTGCATTTCGCCTTATTGATCACAAAAATGAATATTTCATTCATTCAGCCCATATGGCATATGATTGGTCAAAGAATATAGACAGCATATCCAGTTCACCATTTGTTTATATTGTAATATATACTTCTACCTTCTGCCCCTTTTATTAATAAACACTTTCTCTTATCTATATCTAATTTTCTATGGAATAACGGATTTATTGAATGCGAGTGTATTACATCAACTTGCAACCTTATAGCATAAATGAATCTACTTGCATCCTGATTTTCTATTTCAATTCTTATCATGGATTAAATTCAGAATTCATTACTTGAAAGGAATGAAATGTCATGACATTTACAATAGAAAGTTACATTAATTAAATCGTGGAAACAAAATTTTTAAAAAATGAGAAAGATCAGAGAGTTTCTTGATAGAGTTAATTAATTCTGTAAGAACAAAGGCGGAACATTTTTGTTTTGCAAGCCTTAAGTAAATGTTCAATTTGATTAAATGTTGGAAAACGGTTAAATTCATCGCAGGCAATTTGAACATGTTTTTTTTTACATTTGATAGAAATCAGTTCATCTGTTTAATAATGAAGATAACAATCAATAAAGAATGCAAAATAGATACGTATATGTTTCATAAGTGACTTTCTTGGTTGAGATGTTGTCAAATAGACTGTATTCACCCATAAATGTTAGTCTCTTCAGATTTCAGTTATCTAAGTTGTTAATAAGAAGTAAATATTAATTAGTGTAGACATTCAAGTTCTACACAATGTTAAGACGTCTTGGATAGCTAAGTGATAACAGTTCATTCTATGACATTTGGGGGAAATGGGTCCAAGTCCATGATAAAGTGTATGTTAACTTAAAATTTCAAATGCGCCTTGTAAATAAGTTGTGGCTGCTGTGAAACCTAGGTTAGGTTGATTTTCTTCAATCATCCAACCTCAACTAATGAAGAAGAATCAATATCTCATGGTAAACAGTTATCTCAATATAACAGTAATCAAGTACTAAATTTATTCTGAAGTTAACTTATTTAAAATTCTCAAATTTAAATATCGTTTTTCAGTTTCATATGGGGGACGTAAAGCGGAGTTTCATCACGAAAAGATATAAATGAAAGAATCATTTTGCATTAAGGAATACCGGAATATTTTTCAAATCGGATATAACTAGAAATCTTAAGAATAACCTTATTTTGAGTTGATCTATGAATGATCTTCTGCAATAGATAGTTGATCCAAGGACGTGTTAACGAGAACCTGGCGTGAGAACCACCTCAATGTTTATCTATCAGAATGTTTCCTTCTATGGAGTACGTTATGTTGGCCAAACATAACTTGCCTTTTCTAAATAGATATCTGAATCCTATTTAGCATAGTTATCTAAAGACGAATTCAAATAACTCAATCGTTGTGTTGTTGAAAGTTTGGTCAACTCCGATCATGTCTCTATACAAACTTCAAAAATTATCGATAAAACCAAACAGCTTAGGAAAATCTGTAAAGAATTAGTGAATAGCTGAGGTTCTAACAATTCATCAATCTAACCTTGATGTCTGTGTTTAGATGTTATGTGTACAGTACTTCGTTCTTCCGTGGTCCCAGCGCCCAGTCGTTAGATTTCAATAATTCGGTAAGATTATCTGACATGTATATTCATCACTTCTTTACACTTATCAAATGAGCAGTTATCTTAAGTATACCCTGCAAATTGTTACTTCCGCTTCGTCCCCCCCTATTATCCTTCACTTATCGGGCAACTTATACACAATACATGGAGACATATAATCAAATGGTGAGTGAGTGGTGACTGATGTCATGTACTTCCAGCCCTTTAAATGTTGATCGTGTTCCGTCGATCAGTTTGAAATGTAGCCACTAGTCTAAAAGACAACTTTAAATTTTAGGTGGCTGAGGGTAGTCTATAGGAAACCCTGTTCGACCTGAGTTTCGTGCTAGTTGACGCATGTCGGCAAGTGGAATTATGTGTTCTGATGGATTAAAACCTGCGTCCTCCAGCTCAACTGACTGAATTGTTACTACTGATCTGTTCAGACCGAAATTGACCTCCTAAAGGGTCTCCTGGTGACTGCTTGTAAGCAACTAATATTTCGACATCATACTTGTGATTTCAAGTCACTAAGGTGAGTAACTAAATTGCACTTAAAAAACTAGACAAATATGACATTGGTCACTACTTAAAATCAATCAATGTTAATATCTCAGGATGTCAGTCGCGGCTCGAATAGCTTAGCAGCAATATATTGGTCTGTAAAACTTAGTGAAATAAGTTTAAATCATAAAAGGAACATCAGTCCCCTTAAGATCGGAGGTGATCCATGCTAACTAATAAGACAACAGCTAGGTACAGAGTTTCCTGTTGACTACCACTAACTACCTAACATCAAATGAGAATATTTTAAATTAATATTTCTCAATTCTTTTATGATTTAACAATTTTCTGCTAAATGCTAATTAACTATAAATACCACTGTGTAACTTTAACAAATGTAATCATCGAATAGTCGGTTTTCTTCACTGAACTGCCTTTATTAAACTTGATTATGTAACAGGTATCATTCATTGTTATAAAATATATTTCATTGAATATAATAATTTTTTATGGAAAAATGATAATGATGATAATAATAATAATAAATTCAATAAACAAAGTTTTTTCTACAATATTCTTCCCATTTGGTTAACATTGGTGTTATCGTTGTCATTATCACTGTTGTCATCTCTTTGTTGTTTCAACTTTCAAAACACCTTCACTGCAACTGAGTTGATCTTACTTTGTAATTCCTTGACAAAATCACTTAATGTTGTTTCATTTTCTTCTGATAAATCCACATGAATCATATCGAATCTTTGAGGTGACTGTGGTCGAATTAAACTTCCTCCATACTACAGAAAGGTAACGAAGCAAAAGAAAGACTAAGGAGTAGTGAAAAACGTAAATAATGAGAAAAATGTCCAACCGATAAATTCTGATGCTCATCAGTATAGATATGGAGTAAGATTTCATGACTGAGTTTGAAACACTGGGTTAACCAGAAATCGGCTAAATGATAGATGTACACGACTGAACAAAAACTGGCTTACATTCATCAATGATGGCCCATATTTCTTAGGGGAGGATATATATATATATATGGGTATACATACATGACTATTCGGTTGTTCAATAAAATTCCTTTCTCAATGTTGATTGCTTCACTCGACTAATCAGTTAGGCTAGTACATAGGAGGATTCCGTATCAGTCTCAACATCAGATGTCGCATGTCTCAACAAAACGTTTTGTCGTTAAGCTGAAAAACGTTATGTTGAAAGTAGATAAAATGGGATGATACTATGTGGCCTTGTGATAGCTACTCATAAGACCAAGTTATTGATATAAGCCATCAACTAAACTGATATTAGAAAACAAGACCCATAGCTATAACAATTAAATATTTGTATCTAGTAAACTTGTGCATAAAATGTTTACAAGTAAATAAAATGATTAGTTATTATATACGATTAGACAAAATCGATTTGTAGGTCACTTATTCTTCAAAGGATAAGTGCCTAACCGATAAGTTTAATTCTTGCCCTATCATATATTATCGTAACTTCATTAGGGTTACATACTACTGTTCATTTGATTTGAGTTTGTCTAATGTGGTAAACCAAATATTTACAATTTAAACTCTTGTGAATTTAGTACTCTTAGTTTTTGTACAGACTATAGAATAGGACTACAACAATAGTATAAATTCCAATAGTAACTATCTCAAGGGGATCGTAAGGATTTCTAATGGACAAAAATTATGTTGTTATAGAAATTATAAGAAAATTTCCTAAAATTGGTCATTAAAGTGACTAATTAATCGAGTTCTAAGATTTACTGGACGTTCTCAAAAGGATTGACTGTTTTAAACGTATATGAAACCTTTCTCAGAATCACAGAAGTTTTTAAAACATTTATTTATTCTGATTTCTTAAAAAAACTCTCCGTAGTGACTGTTCAATATTACTGTGTAATATCCCGATAAGAATAATGAATGGTAATTTTTAGGATCCATTTATGGACCAATACTGTGTACATTTTTATCGTATAATTGCTAAATAACCAAACTATACATACTCATGTCCCTCTTATTATGAGCTTTATTTTGATCTATGCACTATTATTATACGATTTACTATTCTTGAGTTATACCCTGTCCACCAATTACTATCTCTCTTATTCACAGCCACATTTGGCTAAATCTTGTACAAATGTTGTTTCCTATTTTATGGTATGCTGTGGTCTGTCTTGTTGGTATATAAACTCAGTATGTTTGAAATACATGATTCATATCACAGAGGCTGAGATTGGTGTCCTGGACTTAACTGGCTGGGCTAGGCAGGAAGCAGGGCTGATAAGTACTCTAGATTGCTCGCATGGGGTTTTGTGCGTCATTGGTCCAATCGATAATTTACTGTTCTCTAATCGGCAGTATTACCACGTTATATACTAACAGGTCACACAGGCCACAAGTTATAACACTGTGACAAGTTAGGAATTATTTCTAGTTAAAATAATAACAGAAGTATACAAAAGTTACATGATACTACTTTGAACGTAACAGTCGCTTATAGAAAGGTCGACAAAAGTAATAGATCAACTGTTCTTTTCTATACGTTCTTTTCAATATTCAATTACGAGAAATGAAATGAAAATGCCATATATCATTCTATTCTAGAATGACTGCAATTTGTATAATATAATAACCAATAAACAATTTCGATAAAGTATTCCATGAGAGATAAATGATGAATGTGGATCTATTTCATGTACGAGTCCTCACAACTAAATAAACTGAAATATAAACAAAACATTCGATTCAAAAATTCCTAGTTTTCATTATTTCTTCAACTGATAATAATCTGTCATGAAAATCACCTTTAAAATTATTCATTAAATAGATTCATGGAGATTATTAAGTTAATTATTATAATTAGTACTTGAACAACAAACATATTAATTACGGCGAATTTGTTACTTGTCAGTAGTAACTGAATCCCTAATATTAAAAATTATGTCAGTGTAAAGTATCAACAGAGAATGAACCACATTCACTTTTATTATAATGTTATTTCTTAGTGTTGGGGTTTGAGTAGGTTTTATAAAGTCATAATTTACATTAAGTACTGACCTTGATAAGACAACCATTGACAAATAAGTGGTAGTGGATAGCTGTTTCATCCTAGCCTGGGAATACCCAACCCATCCACAACCCTACCAATGATAGGACCGAGAACCTTTCGATTTTTCAGTCGCTCCATACTTCCATGAATAAGTTATCCAGTGTTTCATGATTATGAATGGTTGCCTGACTAAGATTAGTCCATAATGTAAACTGTAAGGTTGTTGTTTCTATTCATATTTTTCTAACTATATAGGCTCAAATACTTCCAAAGATTATTAAGTTATCAATCACTTAATAATCAATGGATATAAAAAAGAATTATGAGGATTGATAAAGTTATTTGGAAGAATTTATTGTAGTGTAGTTTATTTCAGTTTTATAGACGTAAGACTGTCTGATTCTTAAGCTCAGATGAATAATAAAGAAAAGGTTTTATTGCTTATTTTGATATCCGTGGTTCTAAACTTGGAAATGTGAACTACTGTAATTCCCACGATGAGAGGTGAAAACTCAAAGATTGGTGCAATGAAGATTTATTGACTTTTCAAAAACGCGACGTTGTTAAACCGAAAACACACACTTGATGGCTAGTGAATTAATGTTATATAAATAAAAAGATACACAATGTTACTGTAAAATACATAGGAAATTCGAGATAGTGGAGATCTGTAGCTCAGGTGGATGATTTTGATAGAGTTTTGTTCTCTGAGCTCGATGGTTTGGTCGTGGAGCTTTCGTCGTTCTTATGAACGACGTCATCAGCACAAACTTCAGAAGTTTGTGCTGATGAGATACTCAGAGAACAAAACCCCATCAAAAACAGGAAATTCACACAGAATAATACAAAGAGTGTAATTGTCACACTAGGTAAAAGTTTACACCGGACATACTAAACAAAATTCTCACCTGATCGATACGAAACACATAGACCTGAAATAATGTTACACTACAGACTACAAACTCCATATCTTACTGATTAAAATGTTACACTGAAAATAAAACGAATGTCAAACTATCACACTGTGAATTTAAACCAATGTCATAAGACTTTATAGTGAGTTAGAGAAAACCTGTAAACTTGACTTCTTATCCAGGTTTATAATCTATTTACTTCAAAACAAAACACGTTAAACGTTACTAAAGTGATAGGGAACTACTTGGTGACATTAAAAGAATTAAAGTCAACCTTTTTACGTATCTCAAACACTAGTGAATAAATATAGCGGCCATATAATAAATCGCATAAGTTTTAACAATGTGTGAATATTATACAAAGGAATCCCTGACGTGATGGTGGATACCCACTCCTGAGGTATCGTCCACTAGGACAAAACAACTCTTGGGTTATTGCAAATTTTCGATTAAAACATAACAAGTCCTAAACTATCACAAATACCAACTATTAAAAGCAGTTTATAAAGTATGTATAAACAAAATATAACAAAGTTGTCTATGAGAAAACACGTCAGTTTCATATATTCGTTGGTTTTAAATGAGTGGAAAAAATTATGAGGAAACAGGGAGAATAATTCTACCAAATGTATGTTCATATACATTTAGATGAGGATGTTGGCGAGTTCAATCACTAACTGTCGTACATAAATACAATAGTAACAAATTCAACCTTTGAAAAAGCCTTATGAATATGATTTTGAAAAACAACAAAATTCTTAAAAAAAAGTATAAAGTGAAAATCAAATGGTAGATATTTCTTTTTGCCTACACTCAATCTTCTCAAAACAAAACCCATACACTTTCTAGAATCCAATTCATAGATAGAAATTTGAGTTCATATGTTTATTTAATGACTCCATGTCAGTTATATATATAATTCAAAAAGCTATTGAGAACCAAGACCAGTTGTTTCATCCATGGTTATAAAATCGAAACAATGTATAACCATGACACTAAGTAACAATACACTCAGGAACGTTTAACCTTGCAGCGGGGCATCAGATGATGTTTACCGTTTTGTGATTTGAAGTGTCGTTCACATCTAGGAAAAGACTGAAATTAGACATTAAGAATCTTGGATAATGGGTTACTGGCAGGTAAGTTGGGTGCTCGCTGTGAGATCTGAGTTCAGTCTTCAGTGGGATAAACTAGTGAGAAGTCTTATATTATAATAAAACGGCTATCCAGTGCTTCCTGGTTTCTCAGTGGTTGTAGAATTAGGATCGATTAGTGCTGTGAAGTATATAATTACTCAGTATCCTCCCTCCATTTTTCTCCAATGTTCATTGCTTCTCTTAGTGATGTCAGTTTGGATCGTATAAGCTTATTGACAAAATCACTGAAGTAAACCATATTAATTGTTGGTAATATATTTTTCTAAAATACTTTTGTAAACTATATTTTTTCAAACTTGTAGTATTTCAAGATGTGCTTAGTGAAAAAATTCTTTCCACTTTACACAATATTCGATGCACAGAAATAAATCATAGTGTTTCGTAATCAAGCTTATAGTAATACTTCAGGAGAATTACTTCTAGTAATGTTATTATTATTATTACCAAGTCACATTTCTGAATATTGTCGATAAAATGCCACTGAATAAAGAAAGCAAACTAATTTCTATGCACATATAAACATTTCGAATCTTTTTTTGACTAGATGACATTTAACACTACGAGTGTATATATATAATAATATTGTCGTACTTGTTTGTTGTCTATAAAAGTGGTAATATTTTTCACTTTTACTATATAGTTTTCAATCATAACTATTTC